TATTTATTGTAATGAAGGAGTGATATGTATTTGACCCTTCATCACAATTTAATGATGAGAAAGTTTTGCAGTATTTAATATTTTGGTATGCTTTTGCATAATGATGGCACTACATTAGGAAAAATGTAATGACAGTCAAATGAAAGGGGAAAATTATGTATATGAATACATGAAATAATCTGTGCAGGCAAAGTTATTGATCACACATAATTAACTCAGATTTCATAAGAAGCAGTGGGTACTAAATATCAATTGACATATTGAAGATTACAGTCATTATTTCTTTTTTATCTTTTGCAAAGATTTGGAAGGCACTGCTAGGTTATATTTATGATCATAGGCCTTCCATCATTGACGCTGGTGAACTTGTAAAGAACATCGGCAATATGATTAAGTGAATGAGCAGTGTTCTCTAAGTAACTAGGGGTTTCATCGATTATTTACAAGTCTTTTTGATGATAAACATTATAGGGCCACAGGAACTTACCTTTTGATGACTAGAATTACTATAATCATTAATCCTTTTTGAACTGATATTATTAGAATAATCTTTACAGTTAATCTTTACATATCACTTTTAGAGGTATGGAACATATCCATTTGCAACAAACTTCACAAATACAAGTATGATAAGGACACTAGGCATATCAAAAGCTAATCATGATTTTCTTTGCAGAATTAAAGATGGTTACTCTACAAGTACCCGCAGAGTATGGCTACTGTGTTCTTGTGGCAGTTTTCTCCATATTTGTATTAATATGGAAGGGCATGAAGGTAAATTTAGTACCTGATTATTGTATCAGTATTGCTGATAAAAATGAGTTTTTGCGCATCACCGAATGCGTTAGAGTCCGAACCCGACCACAAATTTACTTTATTTTATTTACTCCTGTTTTTCTCCTTAATGATATACGTTTTTACATGCGTTAGAATCAGAACCTAACCACAAATTTACTTTATATCATTTACTCCTGTTTTTCTCCATAATGATATATACGTTTTTACATTTATCAGGTCGGAGGTGCCCGCAAGAAGTACAAGGTTTCCTACCCTACAATGTACAGCAAAGATAACGATGTCTTTAACTGTTACCAGCGTGCCCACCAGAACACGTAAGTTGCAACCACTGATGCTGCGGAGCTTCAAAATCATCCGTATCGTACAGAACTTTTTTTTTTTTTTTTTTTTTTTTTTTTCCTCTTCACCAATTGATTCTGTAGCATATCTTATCTTTATCAGTTCTCTAATCTAGTTCTTATTGTTCTTATTAGATAAGGTTCTTTGTCCTACCCTAATCTATATCACATTTAAACAATTCCTATCGATGTCCATGAAAACTAGATTTCTCTTCAGTAAAATAAATCATCCTTTGCATTATGAATGTATTTGGTTTCGTAATTGCTTTTATAATGATATTACAAATTCATACTCTGACTTTATTTCAGGCTAGAGAACTACCCGCAGTTCCTTGTTCTTCTCTTTTTCGGAGGTTTATATAATCCCATTGTGAGTGCTGTTGGTGGCGCTATATGGTGTGTAGCACGCATCGTGTATGCCCTGGGATATTACACTGGAGGTAAACTATTATAGTCTTTATTTGTTGTGGGATTCTTGGGTATGTACCAGTATTATTGATATTATTGTTATTATTATTATTATTATTGTTATTATTATTTTGTTATTATTACTATCATTATCATAGTTGTTATTATTATTGTTATTGCATTTTTCATGAATCATATTTTTTCATTATGATTTATTATAATGGTTCCTTGAATTAAGTTATTAATATTATTAGCAAAATTAGTAGTAGTAATAATATAGATGTTATTAGTAGATTTAGTTGTAGTGATAATAACAGTGGTACTGATAATGATATAATGATAAACTTGAATCTATGGTTAAAAAATTAGCTTTATTTCAAGATAATATTTTCTTATTTTTGTTGTTGTGGTTTTATTTTTTTATTATTATTATTATTATTGTTATCATTGCTGTTTTCACAAACTTTGCTACAAGATGTCATCTATATAGAGGCACTGATTTTGTAATTGCAAACCAGAAGAATTATTGAGTTAAATATCTCTTAGACTGGCTTTCCTCTTTCAGAGAATTAGCTATAAATAGCACTAGGAGCAGTGGCATTAGTCTAGTCAGTATCAATATTAACAGTAATTTAGAGATATTGATATTTCCCAAGTTCTCTGGATATTTTGTTTTTTTCTTTTCTTTCTTTCTTTCTTCTGCTCTCTCTCTTCTTTTCTTTTTTCTTTTTTTTCTCTTTCTTTCTTTCTTCTCTCTCTCTCCCTTCTTTTCTTTTCTTTTCTTTTCTTTTTTCTTTTTTCTCTTTCTTTCTTTCTTTTTTTTCTTTCTTTCATTCTTTTCTTTTATCTTGATTATACAGTGCAAAAATAAAAAGAAGATAGGTCAGTGCAGCCTTTTCATGATATACAGATTTAAAATGTTTATATGGCTACCCTCAATCATAAGAACATGTGAGTCTGGGATATGAAACTTATTAACTAGACACACTAAGAGATACAGGATTGTTCACTAAGACAACATACAATACAGTTTGCCAGTTGAATCGAAATTTGGAAAGGTTGCATAAAATTGCTAGTCGGTTAGTCATATTTTATCCTTTTATTTTAGTAAGGTTGCTTAATCATGCAACTTTAACCCATTCACCCCACGTGGCAAGAATAGATGCTATACCCACTTTGATACATGTTTATTTATTGTATTTACACATAGATGACTCTACAAGTTCTTAATCACCAAATAGCTAGTTATCAAGAACTACATATTTCACCTGTTTATCCTCTTCCTTCACTTTAGGAAAGGGTTTTTTGTATCATTTCATTGTCCAAAATATTCTAATGACAATTTGATAATCATAACATCAATAACAATAATAACAGTATCGATAGCAATGGCATTAATTTTCCCGCCAATTCAATGAATGGCAAAATCAGGGTCGGTAACTAGGGCCTACTGATAGACTTCTTGCCGGCTGAGTACATGTGGAGCCATCTGTATGTAACAAAAATTTTTGTAGTTTTTGTAGTTTTAGTACTAATTGTAGTAATGCTTGTGTATAAAGTTTGCCTTGGATCATCCACATACTCAAAAAGTTTTAATGTTTTTTAAAGGAGCTGAAAACTAGTAAAATGATGTAAATAGTTGTTAATTAAAGGGTATGAATAGTTTAGCAATGCAATATGGTAATGTGCATTTTATCACTTTATCTTCATCAGAATTATAAAACTTTGATGAAGAGATGTTATCAAAGTGTACTTTTATGATATTACATTGTGGAATTATTCTTTCTCATTATCAGCAAATTTTTTCACACTTCACTCTGTTGACAATAGTACAACTGGACAGTAGATTTTCCTAACTTTCGTAAAGGGAATAATGGACAGTTCTGTCATTTAAAATTACAGTATGGGTGAGGAACTTCATCTAAAAGAATTTTATCACCGGGAAGCATCTGTCCCCTTATTTTATTTGAATGTTCTACAGTAAATCTGTTTTTGTCTGTATATATCATGTGTTTTAGCCCAGTCTTATAGAAATTCTTTAAACCATTAATGCATTTCTTTCTTATAATAAGGATATAATGTAATTCTTTGTTTCAGACCCCAAGAAGCGCATGGGTGGTGCATTTGGTTACCTCGGTCTGATAGCCATGCTTTACTGCACTGTCCGTTTTGCTACTGGGCTCCTTGGCTGGTTTTAAGTTTCCTTCAGGTTATTAAAAGCTTGTTTCACTACCAAGACTACTTTTTTGTTGCGACTATATCTCCCCAGATGTTGAAAGGTTTTGCTGTGTTTAGCATTTCTGTTGCACAAAGTAAGATTTAATACATTCTTGATGTAATGTAATTGTTAATGTTTAATAAACTGTTTGTTTGTTTTTCATAGTGTTTTAATACAACTCTATAGCTTAATCCTTCTTATATTATGTAGAGAAGCTTATAGGAATATTAGAGAAGGAGAGGTTGCCCACTATTAATATAACTTGAGTAATTTCCATGTATTATCTACAGTGGGAAGAATTTTGTTAAGCAATTTTCTTTCATCTGATTCTGTGATTTAGTCATTTACTAGACACAGTACTACCCAGAGTTTATGCACTTAACTAGCCTGTGTATTCCAGTAAATATCTATAGTTTTCTCATAATGAACTCATAAACTAATTATTCATTATAATATGAAAGTTCATGAGCATATTACTAGTATATAGCCAGTTTCAATTGTATGAGATTTAAAATCAGAGATGAAAATTGTCTTTCCAGAGATATATTAAGTCAAAACATGGAAATGCTTCTGCAAATTATTATATTTCCCTTTTCTCTACACAGATATTTATATTGAGAAAAAAAATATGTGTATATATAGCAGAGGAAAATAAAACAAAAGATATGCGATAGTGTACAGTACATTTATATCCATTCTTTTGATATATGTATATAGATTTAGGAAAATAATTTTCCTTGTTATAAAATAGTGTGAAAGAATAGCAGCTCTTTAAGATTATAGGTACACAGATGCCTAAGAAGCACATTTCTATACATTCGACAAAGGTTGCACATATCACTTTTTTTTTTTTTTTTTTTTTTTTTTTTTACTTTTTCAAAGCATTTTATGTCTTGTGTATGTGTATGGATCAAAATATACAGTATTTATGATATGTTTGGGACACACTTGACTTGGAAGTATTAAGGATCCACATAGCGCAAAGAGAGTACATTCCCGAAAAGTTGTTCCATATGCCAGGTACACCCATTTACAGCTGGGACATATATCACATTTACACACTGATATGACACAGACCATCCCTGACATGGTAAACATACTGTATACCTTCTGCATCAATAGAATGCCATAGATTCACCACAGCATTAAATCATGACAGTAACATCTGCCACAGATTACAATGGATAGACAACAGCAAATTATGACCTACAGTTTTGGTTAGTGAAGAGGCACATAAAGAGAAGAGGACAGGATGTAGTTTTGATGTTAGGTTTGTGTGACATTCTGATTGAATATATATGTATGGATGTTTATACTTATAAAACATACATACAGTAGAAGTATACAGCACATACATACATGCATATATATATATACATATATATAATGTTTATATATATGTGTGTGTATTGGAAACTTTTAAATATTTTTTTTCTTTGGTGTTTAAGTTTTATTCTTGTATTAAAGGTATATCTTTACAAGCAACCCCTAACCAAGATTGTTTACTCAAAATTGCTGGTCTGAATTATTCTAGCAAACAGTCATTATACAGTTTTCTTGCTTCAAGTTTCCTTTTCTAGAATGTTACTGTAAGGAACTGCAGAGCAACATGCAAGTATGATCACTGCTGAGAATATTTCTGGCCAGCCTAAAAGATATTATATAAGGATAATTTAGTAAGGAATATCCACTCTTGACATTATTCTAGTGTGTGACTTAAGGATATGTCTCAATCAGTATTTAATAGTCATTTACCTATATGCTGTTGATCCTTTATTTCACTTTTTCCTCAAAATGATTATAAAAATATATGCTTCCATAATTGTGCTTAGTAAAGACCAAATCAGCAGCATTTAGCTACAACAGATAACTTCAAGCAATACTACAGGTTTCTAAGAAGTGACTAGTGAACACTATAATGTTAATATACTTATTGACCCCCACACCAGCTGTTGCTCAGTTGCACTTTAATCTGCATACTCTAAACATGCATTAGTAAAGCTGTATGACTTTTTTTTTCACATTACTTTGAACTCTTCCATAAGATAGCTATCAACATCGGCAGATAATTTAAAATCGGTAAGTAGAAAATGACTGGCCTTTGAAGTTTGGTTTCTCGTAGTTTTACCAGTGCTGGCATTTACAAAAGTTTTTATTTTCATTCTAGTTACTGTATGATTGTCAGCCAGTAAAAGAAAATGTTTTCTGTATGATCTTATCTAATCTTCAGTATTTGTTTTTCAAAAGATAAAAACTCAAGCACAACAGTTACTAAAACTATAGAGCATACTGACAGTGTCATGCCAAGGTTCTTATAAGCAAAGAATAGCACTGGGTTATTATTGCACCCTAGCCAAGTACTTGAAAGGACCTTCACGACCACAAAAATTAATTAATAAATACAATAGCACACTAGAGAAGTAATTCTGAATTTACCCTTATTTCATTAATCAATTAAATACCTCTTCCTTATCTTTCATGTTATGTTCACTGAAGATATATTAGCAAAAATAAAATAACTAGAAAATACATATATTTATGAACATAGGCATAGGCTTTGCTTGCAACAGACAGTTGACATTATATTAAAACAAAATGAAGCTATGTAAATTAACTCCCGCCCCATCACACAATATTTTTTAAATATTCTCATGCCAATAAAGATTTACTAATACATTCTTTTGTTACTGTTGTGTAGTATGCACAGTAAACTCATACACAGAAGCCAAATACAATGTACTGTTTTTGATATATATACATATTAATGGTTAGATAGGTTATTTTTCAAACTTCTTCATATTTAGCTAGATTTTCAAAATATTTTAGCTTTGATGCAATTTTTGTCTCATTTTCCCCACTGTTAATCAGAGCTCTTGAGTATATAATATTTACAATCTGTTCATATTGAAGGCAATCTCTCAGAGATACCTGTCATTTAGAAAACCATCTTTTAGTCTGGTGATATAAAAAAAAATATATATATATATTTTGCAACATTATCACTAATTGAAAGCAATACCTCTCTATGTGGTCAGTCATTATAATATTTCATGGGAATAATATTGTGCTATTTATTGTGAACGTCTTTTACTTACTGTTATGGATGTTCGTCTAAAAGATCATACAAGGTTCTTTCTTTCATACATATGTGTTCTTTTATTGTACATATCAGAAGAAGAAATGGTTCCTCATTAAAAAATCTAGTTATTTTGCAGTGAATGTGAGCAGTTTCTTGATTTCGTCAGTAAGCAGAGTGCAATTTCTTATGAGTTAACCACTTTCTCAGCCAGTTATAGTTAATACTAATGACATAACTAGTTGATGTGTATTACTTCATCTACAATAATTAAAATGTAAATAATCTGTAAAATTCTGGAAGAGTAGCCTTAATATTTTATCTTGCATTTATATATATATATATATATATATATATATATATATATATATATATATATATATATAGAGAGAGAGAGAGAGAGAGAGAGAGAGAGAGAGAGAGAGAGAGAGAGAGAGAGAGAGAGAGAGAAAAAGTGAGAGACACTTTTATTTATACTTATCAATAGCCAATTCTTCTTCACTCCCAAGATATGATTTTCAAGTTTGACCTTTTCCAGTTATTAAACTTGAAGTTAGAATTTTACATAATAATGATAGTAGTAGTAATAGTAGTAGCAGCAGTAGTAGTAATGATAATGATAATGATGATATTAATAATCATGATGATAATAATAATTATTATCATCATTAATATTACCATCTTCATAATAATAATTATTATTGTTATTATTGTTATTATTATTATTATTATTTTATAATAATTATTATTACTGTTATTATTATAATTATAAGGTTATTGATAATGATAACATAATGATGAATATGATAAAATTAATAATAATAATAATAATAATGATTATAATAATAACAATAATAATAATAATAATAATGATTATAATAATAACAATAACAATGACTGATAATAATGTATACAATGGATAAATCATAATACTAGACTCATTTTTTACGATGAAACATGCACATGACACTATCTGACAGCTTGGTGATGACAGTTGCTGATGATAAACATTTGAAATACAATTATCTTACGGTACAATTTACCAATCATTATCAACCTGTCAAATACATATTCGCTTCGATAAAAAGAAAGTTGTAATATCAATGTTTACTGCTCACCTGGTCATGATTTCTGCATCAAATTAATCAATATTTCTCAATATTTTTTTCCCTGTACTATCAACTGCTATTTTTTCATCACTGTATAAAAATCAGCTAAGGGTTGAGTTTTTAAAAATCCATTACACTGCTTAACATATTTACACTGTTGAGTATTTCATTTGCAAAATTAACTGCTCTATCAGTTAATTATAGATTATAATTAGAAAAAGTACAATATTTAAATGCACGCATAAATTATCCGTGATGTATCAGAGACTACTAAAACCGCCATAGATAAGACCTATAGTATAGCACAGTGCTTTTTCAAACAAATGAATACTGGCGTTACCAACTACTCATGTCACGGGACTAGTCTTTGAATTTAGATATTTCACTATTATTCGTTATCCCTTTCTTTCTCTCTCTCTCTCTCTCTCTCTCTCTCTCTCTCTCTCTCTCTCTCTCTCTCTCTCTCTCTCTCTCTCTCTCTCTCTCTCTCTCTCTCTCTCTCTCTCTCACTCTAGATCTACATAAATCTGCTATGTGTAAAAATTTTATTAATAAGTTATGATATTGGAATAGGAGTGTTTGATAAAAATCAGTATTAAGTAGTTTTCTTCTTTTTTCCCTTTTTCTTTCTTTCACCCGCTTGTTCATTACCTCAGACCCGTAAATAAATGGTAAATTGGGCCATAGTTTGGAAACCACTTCATTAGTACATAGTAATGGGTCTTTTTACATGTCCAAAACGTCAAAATCAAATTAACGAGAAAAGAGTACCAGTGTTACATATTTTCTTCGACTATCTCTTATCTGTATTTTATTCACAGTTATTATCATAATTTACAAGAATTGCAGGTTGAAAATAACGTCATCGCAGTGAATTTTACTGAAATGGTCCGCGTCGCCGATGTTAACGAGTACCGATGTGCTGATGGCGTGTCGTGTCCTTTAGTGTTTTAAATCCGCGCTGATCAGATTAGATGGTGTAGGCCGAAGGAGCTGGAAGTGCATGGAATATACCAGGGAAATTGCATGTAAAAATAAAATATGTGGTGATAAAGGCGATGAAATGGGTTAATATTACACAAGAATCCAGAATCGTATTTATGAGGGATCTGGCCCCTATATCCGTCTTTATTATGGAGCTGCCGCCTCCTTTTTCCCCCCTCCCCCCCGCCTCCCCGACTGGTCAACAAAACCTTAGCCTTTGTATATTGAGGCAAAATTGAGCCCGGGCAAGTCAACAGAATATAATAGGACGTTGAGATGCTGACTTAGGCTTATGATGGTTATACCGAGGCCCTCGCATATCGTTCAATATACTGCAGTCTTTCGTTTTTACTTCATGATTTCCTTGGTATACTTCATATTCAACTGCCAGGGCCATTCAGCGGCATGGCTAATCAGGACGGATTAAATTTATTATAAGGGGGCAGTACACGGCATAAGCAGTTCAGTAATGTTAGTATCAGCAACGCAAACCATTTCAGAAAGATTTATCATTGCCACAGACACCGCTCTGTGATTATCTAACTATCAACATGCGATGGAAAAAAAAGAAGGAAAACACGCCCTCCAACTCGAAATCCAGGCGCCATTGCCATTTCCTCCCATTTCCTGGTTTGTTTTAGAAAAGCGTCGACCTCGCCTCGAAAACACACCCCGAAGGCGCAACGAGAAGCACCTTCATCGTGGATTTTTTTTTTCCCACAAGAAAAAAAAGACCGGCTTTCTTTTTTTTCATAGGACCACAGACACACACTCGGTCTTCGGCCAAATGAATCCGAAATGATCTCATTAATCCTCTCGGTCTCGCTGGTGATGCCCCCTAGACCCAGTCCCCCGCGGAGTTGACTGCCGTGCGGAGAGAGAGGGCGGGGGCGAACCCTCATGGCTTGGTGGGGCAGCGGCAGGGGCAGATGCGGGAGAGGAAGGTGGCGAACACCCTGCCCATCTGCACGTACCAGGGGCCCCGGCGGAACAGCCTCTCGCCGGGGGTGCTGCCCGGGGAGGCCAGGCCCGTCGCGCCTCCTCCAGCTGCTGCGGCGGCGGCCTCGTC